AAAACGTTCACATGGACTCCAATTACCAGTCTCCCTCGAGTCACATGAATACGAAAAGCATCTGTAGTTCCCAAAATAGCAGTAAATAAAACCTTCAGAAATCAGCGGGCTTGAAGAAACGTTGTGCTGCTTTAGTCAGTTTCAGGGGCTTCTGCATGCATGAATCCAGAAGCCACCAAAACACAAGCATATGGAAACCTTGGTAAAGTTTTTCCACTATCACCAGAAAAAGAATTACACTGTGCCCAGTCCTCTATTCTTCCTGTACCCAAAGGGAAAAGCAAGCACTGAGGATAGCCAGCCTGACCAAACATTTGGAAATCATCGTTTGGGAGAATTGCTGCACATGGGAAAGCATAACAGGCTGAAGAAGTCAGACTCGTATACAAGTACCTTTGCTTAAGCACAAATCCTCCATAGCACACAAACCCCATCCACCAGCTTAGTGAGTGCACAAGCCACTATTTGGAGACCAGCAGCCTGACACAGGACAGGATACCTCTCCCCTCCACTGTCATACTCTGTTGCAAGTACTCACTTGTAACCACAGGTCAAGATGAGATGCTATACCAGACAACACCTTGGTCTCACCCAGTACATTTAATTCTTATAGCTTTACCCTCCCTTCAGCCATGGAAAAGGTGTTCAAAGCAACACCTCGCTGCTTTCCTTGAATATGAACTTACTGATATATGAAGGGCTACATCCTTGGCCTCGCCTCTCATCTCCACCAGCAATCAGAATCCAAGGTGGGAGGGTGTTTTCAGAGGGAAAATCAGCCCTTTCAGCATCTTTCCATCCATTTGCAGCTGCTAATATACCTCTACCCACAGCCTCAGCAGGGTCAGTTTCCCACAGCCCTGATGGTGCAAGAGGGGCTTCGCTTGGGAAAAGTGAGCTTAAGAATAGAGCATTGCTAAAGCTCCCTGACAAATAACTACAGCATGAAAAACAGGACTCATATGTGCCACCAAGTCCATTTATTTTTTCTATAAAAGATAAAATAATTTTCTGTTGAGAACTTTTTGTATTAAAACCTGCTCAGCAGATAAGAAATTAATTTGATGCTGTAACCAACCATTTTTACAAACTGTAGGAAAAGACAAGTGTGAAAATTACAGTTATTTATATTCAGACAAACAGCTGACAAGACTGCACAACAGCCCAGCAGCACAACAGCAATGGCTCAGAGTGAAATAAATTAGCCTGGCATTTTTAATTAAAAATTTTCTGCTTTCTAGAATGCACCAATTGTCATCTCTTTCTCCGTGTCACAGATGAACAAAATATCCTTTAACTGCTTTATGTAATAAACTATTCATATATTAAATATAGAAAGAAACAAAATGAGTTTATCTTCAGAGGCTTTTCTTTGACATATATGTTGTAATTGAAGTGTTGAGTGAGGCATCCTACAAGAAACTGGAGGTTGGGGAAGCAAGAAGCTGCCTTTGACAGCTAAATCAGGGAGGAGGCTGTTTCCGTTTTGTTATTTTTAGAGTTTGGCTAGTCTAGCTCACTTATATCTCACTGTGCATTTCAGATACTGTTACATTATTCCTTGATGAAGGACAATTAATTGGTTTGGTGTGCATGGCGAGATGCTTGCATGTTGTACAGTGCTGCTAACTTGTGGCCTCTGATGTTTTTCTTCAAGATCAAGCTCCTGAGAGGATCTCAAGTTTCAGAGTTAGCTTTAAGAATCTTTTCAGCTTCTGTAGCTTTAGAGGCAGGAGTTAACCACGAAGCAGTCTATGACTGGAAAGCAATCTAAAAAAATTTGGCACTGCTTCAGCAATGTTACGATTTTCTCGGTGCCTGATGCAGGAATTTGCAGTACTGTCCCAAGTCTCAGAACATAAGAGTCCAGTGACTTCCTAAGCTTATCACAAGCACTTTTGTCTCGCGGAAGCTCAACAGGTTTAAGTGCAAACTTCTGCACTTGCCTCAATGAAAGCCAGGGCAGCAAGAAGATTCCTCCACCTTGTTCTTAAGGGAACATACTTAAGCTCCGACTTACTCTTCTATCTGAGCACTGAGGAGAGGGGAAGAGGGATGAGGGTAGTTTTTTTCCCTTGTCCTCCTGAATACTAGAAATAATAAATACTAGAAAGCCTCATTCTCTGCAAAATTATAGTTGTCAGATCATCACTATTCCCCTGCCACAAATTCGGCAATTATTTCTCAGTTTAGGCAAATGCTCACCTGCCATTTCTGTCCACTTTCATTTAAACACAGGCCCCAGGGGACTTTATAAATTGAAGCAGTTCACAGTCATTGCCAAGATATAAAATCTGTTTATTTTTTAGCACCACATGTTGGACTGGGAGGAACAGTGGGGGGAAAGTGGAGAATTGTGCAGCTCTCTGCTGGGAAAGCAAATAGTTTCCTAGATCTAAATCAGCTTGTCCTGAAAAAAACATTATCAATAAGCTGGTATTTCTCATACCCTACACAAAACCCACACAACCCAAAGAAACTGTGTATTAACTTCCTTCCTGCTTATTTTAACGGGGTCTGAACTTTAGGGGACATGAGAAGCATAGCGCACATGCAGGGGGAAGGTAGTACATACTTGCTCTGAGACTGTAGAAGTAAAGCCATTAGTTAAATTGAGTTTAATTACTCCAGTTTAATTAAAGAAATTCAGCATGTGTTGGCCTTTTTATATCCCAAATGAACAATATATTTCTAACCTTCCACATCATCAAAATTAATGAAAATATCATGCATATTATTTCTAAGTACAGAATTATGCAAGACTGGAAGGGACCTCAGTGTCTTTCAGTCTAGGACACACCTAAGGGCCTGTATGACACAAGAAACCTTTGCAAACTTTAACAGAAAGCCTCTACGCCTTCCTATGCTCATAGCCAAGCACACGAAACAGGGTGACAGACAGGAAAGGGAAAATTCATCACACAAAATTAAGATACATAAAACCTACTTTTTTCCTGTATTCAGAATGCAAACTCTCCATGGCAACATCGCACAAAATAATTCTGGGTGCATTTGGGATTCTCCTCAGAAAAGTTAGTCCTTCGATTAAGAAAAGTTGATCAAGTCTATCCTCCTGCAACCTGGTGGAACACACAAGGTTCCAAGCACTTACCCTAGCACTGACACAGTAGGTATGTTACTGTTGACTGGCTCTTCTTCTTGGGCCAATTGTGATGGACTGATGAAGTATCATAAGTTTCTTATTTGAGGAATTGGGCACTGGAAGACTTTTTGGCATTCCATATAGTAGCAAACCCATCTATGAAATGTTTTGATATAGCTGCACCAATTGTCTGACCCACTTAGTCCCCTATTAATGCATCTGATTTGATATTACAGACAATAATTTATCCATATCATTTCCCACTGCAGCCTAATGCATGGAACAGTCATGTACAAATGAAATAAAACAGTACAAACATGCATTAGCACACACCTTCAGCACTAACAAATCTACCTGCACATGATTTATTGTGAACTATGCTCACTGCTCATAAATGTAGCAACTTAATGTTAAATCAAGCACTTTATTCAAGCACAAGTAGACAAGAAGGGATGTAAAAAGGTGCAGCAGGGGGTATTTGATACCATAAATACTAATTATTTTTATTTTTTATTATCATGCAGCATTGTTACTGTCAATGTCACTTGGGTCTCTAATATTATATTTCTATATTTTGAAGTATTAAGATTTCCTTTAACAATAAATTATCTTCTGATATGTAGTACTTGTTTGGGTGATAATTAATATCCCGTGTTGTGATTTTTCTCTTTTTGCTCTTAAATGATTACAAGCATGCCAGCCTTAACTCCGTCTCACCACAGGGGGTTATCTACCAGTGTGAGTGAAAACATACAGCGAAATGCTGTACTCTGATTTCTTTCTGGTGGGATTATTTTGATGAGGGTATTTGCTACTGGATTGTGTAACTGAATAGGGAATTTTGTTGCATTTTCAATACTGCACTTTCCTACTATAAAGCCAGGAAGGAAAAAGGGGAGCAATATTTACGGTTGACTAGGAAACCAAGCATCAAATGGAAAGGTAACACACCCTACAACATATCCTACAAATCTACAATTTCAGAACACTAATGAATCCCGAATGTCCTGCAACACCATTCTGCTTGTTAGTCTTATTATTAGTCTTGCTGGAAAACCTGCACATTTTCTTCTAATTGCCATCAGCATATGAAAAAATACACACATGCCCCTTTTATTATCTTCCAAGCCTGTCTCTACACCAGCATCCCTGCACAAGATGAAGGATGAGGCAGGTCCTGTGGTTCATTGGCCATATCACACCATGTGTCACCCTTTGCAAACTGAATATTTATAGGAAACCTGGCGCCAAATCATTTGTAGGTGACCTGATTATACAGCCCTTGCCCTGGGAGGAGAGGCTGAGACAGCTGGGCTGCCCCAGAATAGGGCTGTTTCACAAGGCTTCACATCAGCCTCCTCATCCTTACACGGAGGTTGAAGAGATGGAGCCAGGCTCTTCCAACATCATACACCTTCAGCCAATACCTATGATTGCATCAGTGATTACCTTCATAAAAAGTAATCATAAAATGATAGAAGTGTATCAGCTGAAAGCTATGCTTATACAGACCACAGATAATCAGACAAGAAAAACTGCACACAAGCCATGCCTAAAGAAGTATGCAAGGGACAAAATAAAAAACAGTATTTGACTGCAGGGAATTTAGAGGCAGAGAAAGAAGATGACTTCACCAGGCTCAGAGCAATGACTAACCAGGCTTGAGCATCACCAAGACTGCTGACACCCTCCCTTATGCACTTTAGACACACACCACACACACCCCACAGCTGAGCACAGCCAGGGAACACTTCCTAATAAACAGTACAGATGAGGCCACCCTGCTGGGCAGGGGAGAGAGAAGGGAGAATGTGTGCTGCTCTGTGCCACTTGGACCTCAGTGCTAGAGAGTAGTCCTCACCTCTTATTCACCATCACAGTTGCTTTACTTACTTACCTTAGATGTGGGTTCCCCACCAGCTTATCACACCTTTAAGTTCTGAGCACTCTTCTTTCTCTACCCTGTTTTTGGTTACATTTTTTTTTTTTTGTTCACAATGATTAGAAGAATGATTAAGAGACACCCATAAATAAATTCAGTGAGCACATGAGATCACAACACAACAATATTTGATGTTGTATTACTTGCTGCTAATCTTATGCAAACCTTGCTTCCCATCATCCAGTTAAATGCAAATCTTAGCTAACTTTTGCTTATAAAAAATTTGCATTTAGAAGAACTTTGCTATCATTCATATGATGAAGTCTACATTATGATTTGCATGCAAAACTCATAGGAACAGCATAACCTAGCTCTCGATGTCATTTTATCTCATGAATCCAGCCTTCAACCTGCCTCATGTTAGATGAAAACAAATCTTAAAATATTCCATCCAGCACCAGCACAGCATCTTTAAGCAGCACCACCTTTCTATCATGCTTTATTTCTCTTTGCATTTAAGGCAGCGCTGTCAGTAATCATTCAGCATTTTTCTTTATTCCAGCCCTTTCCTAAAAAACACAAACCCAGCAAATTAAATAGACAGTGAGTTGCCAGGAGAGAAATAAAATAGTGAGTTTGCCAAATGAACCATTACAGACTTAATCAAAGGAAAACCACTTAACCAATCTGATAGAACCTCCATGTTATGCATGCTGTATCACACTATAGCAAATCAAAACTCTATACAGCAATATTAATGCAGTTACATCTATGCTAAAGATCAAGGAAGTGACTGCTATAGAAATTAGAGGAGGTTAAAGCAAAAAACATGTACAGAGCTCTCCAAAATGCATTCAAACTCCCCTGGGAGCAAAATATCTTGATGTTTCCAGCGCTTCTTCAATCCAAATAGTCTGAATACAGCACCAGAGATTAGTTTTATACAGAGGAGGGCCCAGATAGCAAGCTTCCAGGTTGAACATGGGTGTATTTGAATTCATAGCTTTGGCTTATGTTAATAAGCATTTTAACACTCAGTATGCTGAGCTATTGCATGAGAAACAGGAACAAAGGAGAAAGAACAGCAAAATTAAATCAGTCTCAAAGAACCTTGGGGGCAGGCTCAGGTTAGCTATAGGCAGGGATGGTAAATCTTGCTACCTTCATTCAAACTGTCTTTTTGGAGACCTGAATGATGCCTTTGCTAAGAGAGAAAGACTACCACTGAGACCAAAAACAAGGGAGCACAGCATCTCCAGAAGCAGTTAGATTTACCTGGCAAAAAACATAAGATGGAAAAAAATAAAAATATATAAGTTTTGCATTTTGCAACAATTAGAGGCTTGAAATATTGGGAAATGTTCCCCACACACAAAACTGTATATCAAGGCAAAGAGGGGAGAAAAAAAAGTTTATATTAATCTCCAAAATCAGGTGAGGATTGACACCTTTGATTCTAACAAGGATTAGGGAAGGCAGTTGTACTCTGTTAAGAATGACCTTAAAGTGACTTTCTTTGCAGACAAGTGACAGCAGTGCAAGTAGTCAGGAACAGTTTGATTAATATGAAATCCTTCAGATCATCTTTAGCTTACATCCAACAATGCAGTTCACTCTGGGGTGGGTTTTATTACTTTATCTCTATCTGGAGGAAAATGACATCATTTTTCATACACTGACACACCTTTGCCTTTGAAAATGATACCTGATTCAGCAAGAGGTGCAAACAGATGTAAGTACTATCTGCACATTCAAAAGGTGCATTCTGCTCAGTTCATTCCTCTGACAGAGTCCTGGTGCTCCGTTCTGTTAATTATGGACTATTAAATTACAGAAAGAAATAGATGTGCATGCATACTGGCAAGAAAGATTTTAATGTACATGCGATGAAGATGTTTAACCCTCTTCTGCTTCTTTAGGAAGCCATGTCCACTAACTTCTCAAAGCTTTCATTCAACTCTCAACCAAGTTTTTCTGGTAGAGAGTTAGAGAAGTACATGTACGTCCATCTCACTGCCTTTGGCAATTTCTTCTAGTTCATGTCCACATCTTTACGCTCATCTGAGAGGCACCTGAATTTAATTTTCCTTAGATGACTTCTCTATCCATTGTATTGGAACCTTCTTGCTAAGGCCTCCATAACTTGCAGTTTTGCCTCAATTCAGCATCCCACTAATCCAATCCATGGTCAGCAACTACCTAGAACACATTTTAAACAGCAACATACAATATTCAAGCAACATATGACCCTTAAGTATCAGCAACAGTAAGTTTCCAACTTGTTTGGATGTTTTATTTTCATTTCATAATTGGTGTTTAAGCTTCTAACACTAGTAGCACCTTTTAAAATCTTTAGACCATCTGTCTTTCCCTCTTCTCTCCCTACCCTCTCCTACTGCCATTTTACCTGCATCTCGTGGTATTAACTGTATTCATCTAGCACACAACAGCACGGAAAAAATATCTGATGGATCAAAACACAGACTTAAAGTCCACGTCACTGACAATCTTCAGTCTAAGAGTTAGGCTCAGGGTTTAACAAAAGGCTACAAACACAGGACAAGACAAATAGCCATTTCTTGTAAGCCTCTTTACTGTGCAAGGTCCCCATTATCATTCTCCAGCAGCAATAAATTTCTGAGGGAATTAACCATCTCTCAAACCACCCCATTGATCAGTATAACAGTCAGATGCTGCTAAGTACTGCTTCAAGGGAGGATGCTGTCTTTCCAAAGTTCTGTTATCACCAGGAACTGGAAAAACCTTGCATTTCCAAGCTAGAGTGAACTTCCAGAACAGCCACTCTGCCTCAGTGCCGTATTATTTTCCACTATATTAAAAGCAGCAATAATAGTTAATCTTCCTTTCTCTCAGTGCCTTGTTCCCCCTTCCTATGCTACTTATGACCTTGTGCACTTCACCACCATATTAAGCATTATCAGACAGTTAATAGCCCAAGAGAGGCTGTTACCACTCAAACACCAGAAAATCCAGACACAATCTCTCAGTATGGCAAACTTTCTCTCACATTTTATTAGAGTGAATTCAATAACTGACTTATCAGGTCAGAGACTTCAAGATTTTGCTTATCATCACCCTAAAAGATCCCATCTCTCACCTCTCAAAGGTCAGAGGTGGGAGCCCAGGATGGGAATTTCTGCCACCCAAATTTCACTGCAGTTTTTGCCAGTTTAGAACATGAAAAAATCTTGGCAAACCCTTTCTGAGTACAACTGGATTTTCTGCACAGTTTTTAATTTAGTTTTTGAGAACAGCTTTAGTCACACAGTCTCATTTCAAAGACTAGTGCAGATAATTAAAGAATGGGCTCATTTACTCCTCAGTAGCTTGCAGAAAACTTACTTCTCAATATGTGGCCTTTCTCTCCTCCCCCTCCTTTCTTCCATAATCACTATTTGTAACTTATTATATATGCCTAATTAAACACGGGCTGCAACTGATCTTAAGTCTCAAATTTCAGCTTATCTTTGTACAAGATGTTCTCATTTCATAAATTAATTGACCTAAAGCGTGGACAAGATGCTAAATCTTCTGCTGGTTAGAACAGTCTAACATAACTACTGCAGCATCCACCATTGTGTAACAGTATTTTCATTTCACAGCCATGCTTCCAACATATGCCAGCATAGGGAAACAAAGTGGAAGAAAAGAGACCAGATATTTGCCTCCCAAAAAGCCAGGTAAGCATAAAGTTAAAAGAATTAGACTGAAGAAAAACAAAAATCTGCTATAAAAATCCACTGAGATAAGAAACAGTGTATTCATGACCAACTACTTAGTTGAATCTTGTCTGCAGGGTGAAGACTATTCTACGATTCTATGCCTCTAAGACAAGGCAAGAAAACCACTATCTTTCCCATTGTCTCTTCTATACTATTTCCCTGCAACGGTTAATATGCACAAAAAAGCTTCCTACGTGGAGGACTGTTTTTCTGAAATCCAGCATTTGATCGAAAGGAAAAAGACAAAGAAAGATAATTAGTAATAGCAAATGACTTAAAGCAAGGCGCTCTTTAGGAAACACTGGTCTATAAATGACAAGGCAGGCAGAGGGACTGTTACCCTCAAGCATTCACATCTCAAAGTTATTATTCCTTCTATTTTATTCCTTTTCATCAAGCACATCAGGTACACAACATGAGTTTTCCTGGGTGTGGTACCTTCAACAGCCAAATTCACAGGTGGGGTAGGTTCTGTTCTGCTTTTAAATACACCATGGGAATGGCACTGGGGAAGCAGGCATGGGAAGCAGCGCTTCCTCCACACTCCCAACTACCAAGCCTGAGCTCTCATTCAACTGCAGCATGGTGCTTTATGTTTACCCCCATACTGCTGGTTTAGAAGAGACACACCACAGCCCAGGCCCTGCCATATTACTTGCACATCCTTCAGAGATGACCCCAGTTACTGACATGAACACAACTAGCCAAGACATTCACGGTTACAGATGTGCAGGGTAACAAAGCAGTGGGATCCAAATCCACATCTGAAAGACAAACAGCAGTCATTGGACTGCTGAAATACTTCAGCAATGAGGCACTATTTCATAGGTCGCTGTGTTATACTTGGTCCAAAGGAAAGAGACAAACCCAAGTTTATACTCTTTAGGATCTGGCCTCTAGTTCTCATGGTGAATCATCAGTCCTAAACAGAATAAGGTAAACGCAGAAACAGCACTGAAACGAAAATCTTAGCAAACAAGAAGTATTGTCACCCGACTAAGATGATCACCATTATTTGGTGTCACAAATGTTCCTGAAGAATAAAGAAGCATGAAAAACCAAGCCAGAAAAGAAAAGAAAATACATAAGTGTAGCAATTATAACTCCAGCTTGATGAGCTGGCTGGCATAGGAAGGGAAATAATTATTCACTGGCTGTTTCTGAACAGATCATAGAATCATAGTCTAGTTAGGCTTGGAAAGGACCTTAAGATCACCCAGTTCCAACCCGCATGCCATGGGCAGGGACATGTCACACTAAACCATACCACCCAAGGCTCTGTCCAACCTGGCCTTGGACACCACCAGGGATGGAGCATTCACAGCTTCCCTGGGCAACCCATTCCCGTGCCTCAC